TTTTTCAGCATCTTTCTCGTTCCACAATTTTTGGTGCTATTTCAACAAATCATAAATCAAAACGTCCAGGAGAAAGGTGCTATGTCTTTTGGTATTGGTGCAACTTTAGCTTTTTTAAACATTTAGCCTTTTCTGCCACATTTTTTCTAAAAAAAAAAAAATGAAATGAGCTCATTTTACATCCTTCAAATCTTTAGATCTGTTTACAACCTTTTACTGCTCCTTTCACATTTTGTTCTGGTTCAGCTTCTTTCAGCTTCCTTGTGAAAATTTGAACTTTTTTCAACTACTTTCAGCTGTTTTGTGATCCTTTTAGATTCTTTCTGCTAACTAAAACATTTTTGTGCTCCTTCAAACCGGTTTCTGTTGTTTTCAGCTTGTTGTACTTTTTTCAGCTTATTTCTGCACGTTTCAGCTTTATCTGCTATTCCAGCTACTATTTAGCTGTTTTTATACTAATTTTAGCTTTTTTGGTCAATTCCACATTTTTTGCACTCATTTAAACTTTTTTCAGCCTAATTCAATAAAATTGTGCTCTCTCCACTTCCTTCTGATAATTTAAGCTTCTTTCTGCTTTTTTTAAGCTACTTTTCAGCTGTTTTTTAATTTGTAATTCCAACTATTTTCAGATCATTTTAACTTTTTGTGCTCATTTCTGCTTCTTTCAGCATATTTAGGAAATCTTGTGTTCTTTCAGCTTTCTTCTGCTAATTTAAACTGGTTCTACGTTTTCAGCTAGCTTTTTAGCATTTTTAGCTAATTTCATCTTTTTTTCAGATTAATTCAAGTTTTTCATGTTAATTTCTGCTACGTTCAGCCCAATTAACTTCTTTATGTTAATTTAGGTTTGTTAGGCTCTTTTCAGCCTTTTCTGCTCTTTCAGCTACTATTTAGCTGTTTTGATTCTAATTTTAACTTTTTCAGCTAATTCCATTTTTTTTAGCTCATTTCAGTTCTTCCCACTTCCTGCCAGTATTTAAGTTTCTTTCTTCCTTTTCAGCTACTTTTCTGCTATGTTTTGCTAATTTCAGCTTTTTTTTTTTTTGCTTATTCCCTAATTTTTGTGCTAATTTCTGCTTATTTAAACCTAATTCAGCAAATATCTTCTTTCTGCTTTCTTTTACTAATTTAGGCTTGTTCTTCCATTTCAGCTACAGGATTTTTTTAAGCTAATTTCAGCAAGTCCTTCTGTAATAAGTATGCACACTGCTTTTTTGCAGGAAATGCAATTTTGCTAGTTATGTTTTGACATTAATACTAATTTACACTTGTGTATGGCTCAGGTGAGACGTGCAAAATTTCTTTTCAAGTTACAAAACATGTTGCCTTTGTGGAGAAGAGAAAACAATGACAGCATGAAAGTGACCCTTTAGATTTATTTTTTCATTAAATTATAAAGATAAGTGAATCAGCTGGTTTAAAATAAATAAAATCACAGGACTAACTTCTCACAGCGGAGGTGACGGTGAACATCAAGGGTAAAAGGAGAAGGTGTAAATAAAAAAAAACCGAACAAAGCTAGAAGATGGAGAGCTGGTGAATGCTCAGATTAATTTGTTCTCTGCCTTGCTCCACGTGATTGCCTCCACCTTCTCTCCGCTCCACCAGTCAGTGTTCACAGCTATAAATCTTGGAGTGACATTTTGGGCGGCGAGCTTCACGTAAACATGGCCGGCTAAATGTCAGCGTGGGAAGCAGACAAGCCTGACTTAGGAAGAGTGAGAGTGGAGGCAGTAATGTCACCACACTTAAACTCACCTGCCATCTGTCTTCATGACATTTAAGAGATATATCCCTCCGAGCATCAGGCTGCGGCTCGGGAAGGAAAAGTTTGCAGAGGAGGTTCTGATGAGTCAGGCCTTTGATGAGTTCAAGTGATCACACTCACTTTTGTGTGATTTTTCTTTAAGGATTAAAACTTGTCCACGAGTGAACCGGAAAGGTAAATCGATCAAATAATGCTGACTCAGCATTCGCACCGTTACCTTCCTGTTCAAAGTTTATTCTGTGCATCTTTTGCAATCAAACTAGCGGTATAATCTGTGAGTGCATGTGTAAAAAAAATTAACAGTTTGAAATTACTTAAACTTCTTCAAAAACCTCGTTCACTTTTAAATCTGCTTCGACTACTCACTCTAATTTTGTCCTTTTTATTCAAGGGTTCACGGTTCTATATTTAGTTTGAACTGTGCTGTATAGTACAAACTAAGTTCATAGTGATATCATGTGAGTTTACAAACAATGTCTAAGTGATAAAAGTGGAGTAAATATGAAAGATAAAAAGTATTGTAATTTAAAAATGTATTATTTTAAAAACGGTTCATATTTGGTCAAGAAAATCTAGTCCAAGCAGACTAAAACAGGCGGTTATCATTTTTACTACGTTCCTTGAATGTTACACATGTTTGTTTGAGGAGTGCAGATGGGTAAATGCCACATGGCAGGTTACAACATACTATTTCAGTTGTGCAAAGTGTCAATCTTGTTCAGTTTGTTTTGTATTGGATTAAGCAATTCATTTGGCCCAATCAGATGGGAGTGGGCGGGATTAATGGTACGCTGCATGAAACGTGAGTCTGTGTGGGGAAAAAACAAACAAGGCAGAGAGCACAACGACGCTGACGTGGGACAATAACAAAAGTAAAAGCTGTCTATTACAACGGTTGATGCAGAGTTGCCGACTGTAACAGTCTTTAAGAAGCATATGAGAGTGGACCAGGAGCTAATCTTTAGAGCTGCTGGACGATTAGAAGTTCCCCATTCATCTGTTGGATTCCCATCTGTGAGGTTGCTCCCAGGAAGGAGCTTCGTGTTCGTGTGACATCACCTATCTACTTACTTTACTCAGTACCATATTAAAGGGATATCCACATCTACTTGTCCCGATCCAATCTCGAACTCTGAAGGATTTGTGAGTACAAAACTAAACCAATGCACGTGCTTTTTATTTTATTTTGCTCAGTGAGCGAACGAGCTGTTTGTTTTTTGATCCCATGCACCCAAGCATCGATTCAGGCCAGCAATGGGTTGAAAGTACTGTAAAAAGTTGTTTTTATTTTATTTACATGTTTTTACTAAAAGTCTTTAAAATTTCAATTAGGCATCAGTGTCCTGTTTGAAAGTTACTTTAAGTGTTTTTTTGTATTCCAAGGAAGTGTATTTAATACGTACAGTTAACAGAAGTAAATTTTTAGTGGGTTAAACAAAGTGTAAAATCATAATTCCCTGCTAAGTGGAGGCAATGCCATTAAATTAAATATAAACAGTAAGTTGTACCTCCTGTAAACTGTTAGTACAGCTATCTTTAAAATAATGTTCAGCGGTTAGAGAAGGTGGGCCTGTGATCGGAAGATCGCCGGTTCAAGCCCCGGTACTGACAACATCAAAAATGTGGGTGGGGTAGGTGAAACACCTGCCCCCACCCTCATTCGTCCCACTCTGGGCCCTTGAGCAAGGCCCTTAACCCCCACCATCTGCTCCTCCGGGTGTCCTAGATGGTAGCTCTCTGCTCCACACAGAGGGCTGTGGTAGCTCGGTGGTCTGTGGTTGCGTCAGGAAAGGCATCCGACGTAAAAATAACTGCCAAGTCTTTGTGCGACTTAGGTCACTGTGGTGACCCCTAATGCAGGGAGCAGCCGAAAGAAGAAAAAAAAAATATATACATATACATATACACACACACACACACACACACACCCACACACACACACACATA